AGTGCTCTGCGGTTCTGCTTGGGCCACCATGGGCCCAGTTGTTATCGTTGAACTCGCCGCTGGAGCTTGGACAGCCATTGCCTGGGGCTGAGATAAAGCCCGAGCCCCGGGATCACCGTCTGGCTGGTTGGACTCTGGCTGGGTGGCCCGCTCTCCTTCTTGAGTCCCAGCTTTTCGAGCAGACTCTAGTGGAGACATGCGAGAAAGCAAACTCTTAAAGATTAGCTTAGTACTAGCCCGTCGAGCCGGGCGCGGCCCGGCCTCCCTCACCGGCAAACCCCTCTCCCTCTCAAACTTATCCATTCTGGCCATTAAGGCCTCGATGTCCTCGGCCGAAACGCCCTCATCCTCCGATGATGACTCGTGAGGAGGGGGGGCGTTTCGCCGGCGTCTTCTTGGCCGGCCCCTGTCCCTTAGAGCAGCCCATGTTCTTCTTTGGCGCCATCCTGAAGGAAAAATTGATGCTGCTCCATCAAATATAGCAAAGAATGCTGGTCTCCTCTAAAATGTCATCAGTTCAAGCTGGAGCTAACCTCAGCAGCTCACTTCCCACCTGTGATCTCCTATCAATGGTAAACAGACTTTGAACCTGACTGGCTTAAGCAAGCCCTATGCTCATGTGGTCTGCCTGATGAACTGTCGCTGACTGATGGGGCCTATTGATCTACTCACATTTGCATATCGCAAAGATATCCCTATCAGAAGCTGGATCTAACAGCAGGAGCTCCCCTCCTGGCGTAATTAATTTTAATTAAAAATTTTTGCTATCAGAAGCTGGATCTAACAGCAGGAGCTCCCCTCCTGGCGTAATTTTTTTTGTTGCTATCCGAAGCTGGATCTAACAGCAGGAGCTCACCTCCTGGCGTAATTTTTTGTTGCTATCTGAAGCTGGATCTAACAGCAGGAGCTCCCCTCCTGGCGTAATTAATTTTTTTTTGTTGCTGTCAGAAGCTGGATCTAACAGCAGGAGCTCCCCTCCTGGCGTGTGTGTATGTGTGTGTGTGTGGGTGTGTATATATATATATATATATATATATATATATATATATATATAGCTATCAGAAGCTGGATCTAACAGCAGGAGCTCCCCTCCTGGCGTAATTTAATTTTTTTGTTGCTATCAGAAGCTGGATCTAACAGCAGGAGCTCCCCTCCTGGCGTAATTTTTTGTTGCTATCCGAAGCTGGATCTAACAGCAGGAGCTCACCTCCTGGCGTAATTTTTTTGTTGCTATCCGAAGCTGGATCTAACAGCAGGAGCTCACCTCCTGGCGTAATTTTTTTTTGTTGCTATCCGAAGCTGGATCTAACAGCAGGAGCTCACCTCCTGGCGTAATTTTTTGTTGCTATCCGAAGCTGGATCTAACAGCAGGAGCTCCCCTCCTGGCGTAATTTTTTTTGTTATCAGAAGCTGGATCTAACAGCAGGAGCTCCCCTCCTGGCGTAATTTTTTTTTGTTGCTATCAGAAGCTGGATCTAACAGCAGGAGCTCCCCTCCTGGCGTAATTTAAATTTTTTATTTATTTTATTTTTATTAGAAGCTGGATCTAATAGCAGGAGCTCCAATTCATTTGCAAAGCTGGTTTAAATCATCAACCAGCCAGCTGCTTGCACTGACAAAATGCCCGACCCGGCCCAGCTCAAGGTTAGCCCAAAATGGCGGCCGCCTCTTCTCCTAAAATGGCCGCCATCAAGTGCAACCAAACCGAAACCGAAACCAGTATCAGGAGGGCCCAGCCGGCATATGAAACAAAAACCTGCTGCAGTAATGACCTCACACCAGGCCCACATGGCGACCCAAGGCCGAGCTCGGCCTAAGCCTCCACGAGCGGGCCTGGCCAAAGGACGAGGAAAGAAGAGGCAGGAAGCGGGAGGGGGGGTGGGTGCTCGAAACCAGACCCCCGGTGAAGCGACCCACAGGCCTTCCTGGAGGAGGGGGTGCCGCCCACCCCCACAGGGCCCCGACACAGACCTGTAGGTATTCTTTTTCCCTTCTGCTTCGTCTGGTCTTCTTTCTTGAGTTCTTCACTCCACTCTCCTCTTCACTCAGATCTTCTCCCAATCTTCAGTCCTCTTCAGTCTGCCTTCACTCAAGTCATCTCTTTTCTTCTTTCTTCCCTTTTCTTCAATCTTGTCTTCTCCCTGGTTGTCGCTGTGTCCTCCCTCTCCGACTTCCAGGCAGAATGAGCCTGGGTGGGGGCTGGCTTGTACAAACAGGCCACGCCCCCTAGTCCTCTGGAAGGTTCCATTGGAACCCATCCCTGCCTCGTGGGAGGCAGACAAACCATTTTCTCTCTCCCCATTTCACGGGGAGAGGAAATTTATTCTGGCAATCTTCACAAGGTCTATGACAGGGGTCCTCAAACTATGGCCCGGGGCCCAGATACGGCCCTCTAAGGTCATTTACCCAGCCCTCGCTCAGGGTCAACCTAAGTCTGAAACGACTTGAAAGCACACAACAACAACAACAACAACAACTATCTCATCAGCCAAAAGCAGGCCCACACTTCCCATTGAAATACTAATAAGTTTGTATTTGTTAAAATTGTTCTTCATTTTAATTATTGTATTGTTTTAAAGTGTTTTTCGCACTACATATAAGATATGTGCAGTGTGCATAGGAATTAATTCATTTTTTTTCAAATTATAATCCGGCCCTCCAACAGTTTGAGGGACTGTGACCTGGCCTTCTGTTTAAAAAGTTTGTGGACCCCTGGTCTATGACATCAGTTTGAAGCAATTATTTTACTTGGTTTTTGGTCCCAAAGATTACTAAGGGGCTAGGTTATTTTTCTTTCATGGTTAGGCGGAACAACAGCAATCCAAATGGCATTTCTGCCAACAACTGGAAATCTTTTCTTGAGATTTAAATATATATATACATAGCCAAAGCCTCTGTGAAAAGCTGGCATAGCCTAATAGCAGAATTTATTAACAATGATAAATAATTATTAAATCATTTTAAAAATGGAGTAGTTGGAATTAGACAACTTGATTGTAACACATCACAATTATGACATTAAATCTGTGTTAATATTGATATTAATGATTGCACAGGGGCAGCCCTAGAACTAGAGATAAGAGATTAGAGACTAGATACAACTCTACATTGCTATTTAGTCAATATTCATCTCACGGCTTATCATTTGATATCTTAAAAAAATCTCTTTAGGTTTGGTTGAAGTGGCAGATAAAACAGATTCCTAGCCCTTCCCCACTAATTCCATTCCTGGAGCTTCCATTATTTATACATGCTGATAAATGGGATTAATTTGAGAGCAGGAAAGAGGTTGGTTTTTCTGCCTACAAAGTCTATTTACAAGTACTCAGGCTAAATCAAGGAGGCAATTGAAAGACCAACTTAATAGCAGAAACTCTTCTTAGTTTCAATGAATGTGGGTTACTCACTTTACCATCACAGCATTGCTGTGGAAACAAGTTCCTCACAAGATACATAACTTTGAAAAATTTTGAGAGTCATCATTGGCCATGGTTTTTCTATTGTATGATCTCTTTATCTTTTTTGCAAAAGCAGATGAGTGAAACATTGAAAAAGGTATAGGAGAATGGTTTACAAATGAAGATAGCAGATACGTACTGGGGATGATTTTGGTTAAAGCTATCAGTAAATGTGGTTTCAGTTAGGATAAAGTAACCCCCAATTCAGTTGCTTCATAGACAGTATTTCAAGGCATGGCGTCTTAGCTACTCAGAAAAAATGATTCTATAAAATGATGGTGATGAAACTATCCTGTTGTCATCTATGGTTATTTTGTCCATTTATAAATAGCTTTTGATTTAGAAGCCTTCTCGGAATTTAGTAATGAGACAAAAAAAAGTAATACAAATGTTTCCTGATCTATTTATTCTGGTGTTCTCAAAAATTCAACAAAAAATCTTTGAGAAATTCCATGTGCCTTTCAATGCATCTTGACATTTCACAGAACCCAAAATCAAACAAAAAAATCTTTATCTTGGTAGAAACAAAATTATGGACACTACCACTGCCAGAAAAAAATTACCAGTCAAATACAAAATCTTCATAACAGACAAGGCACAAATCTTTACATGAGACAGTGTCTCCTAATTTCCTTTGTAAATACTACATGGGATCCCATCTGGACCTTTGGAATAGTTCACTGCCTAGTAGTCATGAAGACAGTATTTATGTATAATGTATAATTCTGTAATTCATTTAAAGATACTGTTTCATTATCCAGGTGGAGGCCACTATGGTGTGCTAGAGAGAGGATAGTCCATTTTAATTAATTAATAAATAAATAAATAATAATAATAATAAACCTTTATTTATACCCCGCTACCATCTCCTGCAGGACTCGGTGCGGCTTACAAGAGGCTGAGCCCAAATACAACAACAATAAAGCACAATGGTAACAATACAACAGTAAATAACTCATAAACAAAGCAAAACAATAACAATAATATCACGACACATTTAAAAACCTGTGGCAGGGCCAAATGTAATAATTAAAATTTTAAAATGCTGGGCATGTCAAAGTGAAATAGGATGGATATTTTAGGGGTAGGTGGGCGTGCAGACAATCCTAAATCTCTCGTAAAGTGCATATGGGACATATTGCTTGGGATGCCTTATTCTGGGAAGGCACACTGGAACATCCATGTTTTCAAGCTCCTTCTAAAGACTGCCAACATTGACAGACCTGGCATTTACCAGCAAGATCTTAAGTCCGGTGGGACTGCCATGAAGTCTACCACAATCTACCTTCTCCAGGGTCGCAAGAACTCTGTTGCGCTTCTCCCTGGTATATTTGTGACCTGCAAATCTCCTCCCCCACACAACCTGGATGGTGCCCGACTCTTCCAGAACCCCTCCCTCTCCCTGGGAATTAGATTCTGTGGCTAGTCAGCTCTCAACAAAAAAGGAGCTTGGTTGTGGGCTACTCTGAGGGTCAGATGCAGGTGTTTCCAATGTCGACATGGAAACAGAATTTTCAAGGGAACTGAGGGGGCTGAAAAGGGGAAGTGTCCTTGGGCGGGAGAGTGTGGCCGATTGGGTAGGGACAACTAATACAGATGGAGTTTCGAACTGATAATTGGGGGGGGGGGGGAGGTGAAGGAGGTTATTCCTCCTCCTAACTTCCCATTTCATAAACAACAGGGTTGTTTCCACAACAGGGACAGATGGGGAATAACAGAAAACAGGGAATGGTTTGTGTCTTCAGCCCCTTGCTCACAGCTGAATAAAATCCCACATGATCTGCTTTGAATTGAAATATATGGCAGTGTGGACTCAGGATGTTGCTCATTCGTTCCGTCGTTTGCGACTCTTCTTGACCTCATGGACCAGCCCACGCCAGAGCTCTCTGTTGGCCATCACCACCCCCAGCTCCTTCAAGGTCAATCCAGTCACTTCAAGGATGCCATCCATCCATCTTGCCCTTGGTCGGCCCCTCTTCCTTTTTCCTTCCATTTTTCCCAGCATCATTGTCTTCTTTAAGCTTTCCTTTCTTCTCATGATGTGGCCAAAGTATTTCATCTTTGCCTCTACTATCCTTCCCTCCAATGAGCAGTCAAGGCTTTATTTCCTGAAGTATGGACTGGTTGGATCTTCTCGCAGTCCAAGGCACTCTCAGAATTTTCCTCCAACACCACAGTTCAAAAGCATCTATCTTCCTTTGCTCAGCCTTCCCTATGGTCCAGCTCTCACATCCGTAGGTCACTACAGGGAATACCATTGAGTGGAACCATACCCATTTAAATTTTATTTACTGTTTTGTTAGATTTTTCAATGGATATGTCATGCCCTGACATATTTTTGTTGTGTTCTTCATTAAGCTTCAGTTGTCTCTTTAATTAGAATGGATTTAGTTCCTTCTTGTATAGTTTTCTGTGGGAGGGAACCTTAATTAGGCCCTGTCCCTTTAAGAAATCCCACCAGAGGCAGACCTTGCAGTCCTCCTCAGCAACTCCTGTGCAGTTAGTCAGTCTAAGGCAGTGGTTCCCAGCCAGTGGTCCATGGACCACCAGTGGTCTGCAAGAACTAAAATATTATCTGCAAAACATTTAAAATTTTAAACCTTTATCATTTTAATGAATACGTTGCTATGTGGGTGGTGCTGGCGAATATGAGTGGGAAGCCAGAGGGAGGGCAAGTGATTGACATCAAGTGTCAAGTACTCACATCACCCAGCATCAGTCAGTCGCGCGCATTCTTTTGTCTTGCTGTGTCAGTGATTCTGTTTTGCTATTTAGTGATTCGATGGCTCCAGTAGTTAATTGACCATGGATCCTTAATATTCATATTAAGTTTTGACTTGTTTAATGATGATAGAAATGAATTTCAATTGTTATGAAAAAGGCAATAAAGCTTTTGTTTGTTATGCTTATACTCAATTGCATTTTAGTTTTATTTTCAAATGAAACAATTATGCTTGTAATGAAAAGCAAATCCAGGAATTGATTGAAAGCAAGTGATGATTTGCATGTAGCTTTGGTCCCTACTAACAAAAAAAAAATCAAATTGGTCCCTGGTCCAAAAAAGATTAGGAACCACTGGTTTAAGGGTATCAAGGAGCCTAGAGGCTGCAATGTTTTCTGTGTCAAAGGTTTAGGAAACTCAGTCAAAGGTTAAGGAAACTCAGTCAAAGTTTAAGAAGCCAAAGGTTTCAGAAATTTTAAGACTTGGAGAAACAAGCTTTAAGTGTTGAGAAACCAAGCCTGCAGTTTAAGGGGAAAAAGAGACTTTACAGGAGGTGTTAATAAAAGTCAAAGCCAGACAAAGGACACAGAAAAGAGGCTAGAACAGTGGTTCTCAACTTTCCTAATGCTGTGACCCCTTAATACAGTTCCTCATGTTATGGTGACCCCCAATTGTAACATTATGAACCCCACCAACGCTAGAATTGGGCCAAACTTCCCACACAGAACTCCCATGATCAACAGAAAATACTGTGTTTTCCGATGGTCTTTGGTGACCCCTTTGACACCCCCTTACGACCCCCCCCCCAGGAGTTCCGACCCCCAGGTTGAGAAACGCTGGGCGAGAAAGAAGATCTCTTTGGAAGAAATCAAGAGAACCCCAGTTAATTTTCAAGCTTCCATCTGTTCCTTCAAGTAATCATTTTGGAGGAGTTAGAGTACTGATCTTCAATACATTTTAATTACTTTTTATTTAC